GAGACTCCAAGAAATGAAAGAAGCTAAAAGTGTGGCAGATGTCAGTGAAAATGTAAATAGGGTCACCACTCCAGGATTTGGCCAGAGTCACTCAACTGGTTTAACAGGTTCTGTTGAGGAATCTTAAGGTAATAGTCTAAGGGATGGGAAATGGTCCTCGCCAGTCCTACAGGAGGCACAATATACAACAATCACACAGAAAACATGATCATGCTTTATAGCCAAGCCACTGCCCGTGTCCCTCCCCACCTCACTCCTGCCAGGGTGGCCCAAGCTCTGGGGTGTAACGGCCACATACAAGAGTGCATGGCGAAGGCAGAGATGTACCCACCTCTGGGGTGTAATAACTCCATATAACAGTGTATGGGGAGGGCTGAGATACACCCCAGGGCTGGGTGCAACAGCCACATACAACAGTTTAGCACAGCCCGGACCATACACTGTTATATGTGACCATTACAACCCAGAGCTGGGTGCATCGCAGGACCCAAGCCACTCCAAGAGTGTGTGACTCTCCTCTCCCTGCAATGGGTGGGACTGTGGCATGAGCACGTTGGGGGCTGGTGGCTGGCATGGGTGGCACCCCTGTCCCCCCAGTCCTGCCTGTGCCCCTCACTCTGAACCTGAAGCCCCCTGCCCCACCAGCCTTGCCAGTGCCTCTCATTCCTAGCTAATCTGCAGCTCCCCCTCCTCCCCCAGCTCAGCTGGTGCCCCTCACTCCGGACTTGCAGCCCCCTGCCCTTCCAGCCCCCTCCCCGCGGAACCCTGCCAGTGCACCTCACTCCTGACCCGCAACACCCTGCACCCCCAGCCCAGCTGGTGCCCCTCACTCCTGACCTGCAACACACTGCACTCCTAGAAAGAGGCAGCAGTATGACTGCCAGGCAGAGCAATGGCAAGCAGAAGATGGTCAAAGCTATGGCCTGGGCTCTGAGCAGCTGTAGCAGGTGGCAGGCAGGCTGCAAATAGCTGCACTGGGCACTAGAGCTCTGGCACCAGCTCCATGCTGGTGGCAACTACACACAGACCTTGGGGTGAAGGGTGGGGAAGGGGCCAGGGCAGTGCAACCCCAGCCCCTCTCCTGCCACCCACCCAGAGGCACACATGCAGCCACTGCCAGCAGTAAGGATCGGGCCCTTTTTGTGGCTCCCCTGTGATTGCCTCTACAATGCTAAGTCAAGGTATGGGTCAGGGTTGGGGGCTTTTCGGCACTCCATCCAAAAATGCTGCCAATGCCTGACATAGCAGGTAAATCTTTCATACTGTAGTTTGCAATGCATAATAATCAGGGATCTTGCCAAATCAAATTAATTTTTTCAAAGTTAAAAAACCAATTCAACATCTAATGACATTTCCCCTTCTCTTCACTGACCTATTTTTGGAGCAAAATAATGTACTTAGGCCTCGACCAAAAGCATTTCAGCCTGAAGAAGGGAAATATGCCATGAGCCAAAATTTATTCACAGTAAAGCCATGGGGTATTACGGTTGTCACCCATGCACAAAAATATTTTTAAACACGTAAATACGACATTCAAGTTTCAACTAGCACCAGCCCAGCATGGAGGGGAAAAAAGACACCCCACCCTCCTTCAGTTTCAGTCACATGGATTCACATCTATTTCTATACCATTATGATTATCTGGAAACAGAAGGTAGCAATCAGCACCCTAATATTAGGGCTCTTGATTTTTATTACTGCTACAGTTACAGTATGTAGCATGTCAGAAATTATGAGACTGGAAAAAAATATACTATAGTGTTAACGACAAGAGAGAGAAAACCTGAATATGGAGATGCACTATAACTAAACTCCATACACAAACTCAGAATCACAGGAAAGCAGGGCTGGAAGGGACCTTTGGAGGTCATCTAGTTCAACCTGTTGCCTAAGGCAGGATCATCCCTATCCAAACCACCCCATATAAATCGTTGTCTAACTTATTACTAAAACTGTGCAATCAACCCTGTCACAACCTAGGGCCCTACCAAATTCACGGTGGAAGTGGGCTGCGCGGAAGTGCCTTTAATCTTGCAGATTCCCTTGTGCCTCCCCACCCCCCGCCCCCCATTTGCTGCTTGGTAGCCCTTTTGCTTGCTGCTGATTGGCTGGGAGGCAAAAACGGTGCCATGATGGGAGGAGGGGGGCATGTGGGGGAACCTGCAAGATTACAGGAGCTGCTGTGCAGCCCACTTCTGGGGTGAATTCAGTCGGGCCCTACTAATCTGCCCCAAGTAAAGCAGAGGAACAGCAGTCCATGTCCTGCTGCTGCAAGAGATAGTTAAAATACACTTGAGAGATCTGACTCCACATTATAGAAGGCGGCAAAAATCCACACACTCCACATCACCTTGACCATGAGAAAAATTCCTTCCTGACCCCAAATGTGGCCATTGGTCTGACCCTGAACAGAGGAGCAAGACCCTCTAGCCAGGAACTTCTCGATTTTCATCCTAGCAGGAGCACTTGCACACCCCAGTCAAAATCCCCAGCTTGGCTGCAGCTAACATCCAATGCTTCTGAGGAAGAAAATAAAAAAACCCTCACACCTGACTTGCAGCAAGAAGAGAAAAAATACCTTCCCAACCCCAGGTAGCAACAAGCAAAGCCCAGAAGCATGAGAAATACCCATAGTAAAGTACAGACTTAGCTTGTCCTAGACTCAGCCCTGACCAATGCTTGTCCAACCTCTTCTTGAACACCACCAATAATGGAGATTCCATAGCTTCTCTAGGCAGTCTGTTCCACTGCCTTGCTGTTCTAACAGTGAAGTTTTTCCTGATATCTAACCTAAACTTACTTTTCTGCAACTTCAAGCCACTGGCCCACATCCTGTTTTCTGCAGCTGAACATGTCCATTTCAGTCAACTTCTCCTTGCATGGCATACCTTTAAAGATCTTTATCTTTTGTCACCTGTTTCTTGACCCTCTCTAATTTCACTACCTCCTTGTTAAGATGAGGAGCCCAAAACTGCACACAATACTCTATAGATGAGGGCTAACCAGTGCTGAGTAGAGGCACTACCACCTCCTGTGTTTTGCACCTAATGCTCCTATTGTTACACTTCAAAGCTGCATCGCATTTTGTGGCAGCTGCTTCACACTACAAACTCATTCTGAGTCTGTGATCCACCAAGACTCCTACATCCTTCTTCATAGTGCTGCCAGCCATGTTGTCTTTGTGTTTTTTGATTATTCTTCTCAAAGTGTAACTTCTTGCATTTGCCATCATTGAACTGTTAGCTCCTGCCCAGCTTTTCAGTGTCAAGATCCTTCTGAACTGCACTCCTGTCCTCCATTGTGTTTGCAAAACTTTCCAGTTTTACATCATGTGCAAATTTGCTCATGCAGCTCTCTATTTCAGCATCCAAATCATTAATGAACTCCAAAAACACACAAGTGCATTGTAAAGCTACTAAGCAAAACTTTTAATATATAAAAAGCATATACAATGCATTAAAATATATATCTTAAAAGAGAACAAATGTTTCAAAAGTCAAAGGATCAAAAACTGGGAAATAATAAAATTAAGTCTGCCCCCACACAGAAAATTTCAGGCCAAATATTTAAAGCTTGGCAAACTTATAAACAACTGAAAGTAAAATCTTTCCATGGAAAATACTAGCATAACTACTGACTTACCAATGCGCATACTCACTTCTTCCCTCACCCCTCGTTTAATTTGTTAATAGCCAGCTTAAACAGACACTAAAATTCCGCTATGAAAATTTGCCTACTCTGGATACAAGTTTTGTTTAGAAGTACTGTTCCAGAAAAATCAGATTTTTAGTTCATTTAGCCCCATTCTGTACTGCATAAAATCAGTTTGCCTTTTATAATAAGCTATTCCTATTTATGTGGGAGTCTCTCCTAGCAATCAGAAGTGAAAAGAGGTGGGGGTTTTTTTTTGTTTTTTTTAACACAATCATAAAATGACTGTAAAACCACAAATATTTTGGAAGAGTCCTTTGGGACAAATACAGAATGTGACCTTTTTAAAAAAAATAACCTGATTGGATTTCAAGTTGAAATTATTATTTTACCTGAAAATTGATCCAAGAATAGGAATACAAATCCAGCTAAGGGATTTAACAGTGTGAAGTTTTATACAAACTGAGTTTGTGTATAACAGTGAACATATTACAGCAAGTTAGACAAAAAACATGCACGATGTGTGGAAAGTTTAAGATGCCCATCAAAAAAAATCATCTTTAACAATGGAGAGGAAAGGGGCATCAGTAGCTATTTAGCATGAGAGTTAGGATACAGCTTCTGAATCAGATCTTTCTAGACCTTAAATGCTGAAGGCTGCAAGTGAGAGAGGAACAGTGGAAAAAACCCTGGTCATACTGAGTTCACTCTTCCTTTTAGCATCCACACACTGCTACTGAGACACAGGATACTGGGCAAGATGGACCTACGGTCTGATACAGTAAGTGGAAATTCTTATGTTCTTAGGCCATTTTGTACCTCCAGCTTATAATGTTGCTCATAGCAGTAGGTTGCTGTAAAGTATTTGGAAAAGCAGTGAACTTACGTGTTTGTGGAGCGTCTAGCTCAGTGGATCCTTGATTTCTTATTGTGGCCGATAAATGTTACCAAAAAAAATGCACAATATGACTATTCTTCCTTAGGGATTTATAAAGTTTTATTTCTGAAGAGGCTTACTAAAAAACCTACAATATTAAAAAAAAAACCAACCCAAGTTGGATTAGGGAGTGGCTTCTTGTCTCTCGGTTAATGTTCCAATTCTGTCCAAACCTTATTTTGCTTTGGCCTTGCAGAACATATTTGCAAATTCCCAGACCAACTCTAATCTCACCCTATTACAAATATCAAAAGAATGGTTGAAAACAAGAAGGCTGTCATGTCATACAAGCCAATTCTAGAACTGCTTTGGAGTAGCTAGTTTACTGAAGATCAATTACCTTGATTGCCAGAAATTAGTTATTTGCAAATAGCAGAAAAAGAAAGCAAAAATATATCAAAAGAACTGTTACCTTCCCGTAGACGTTCAACCACAAAGGTGAACCCAGTAGTTCGTGGATGCAAGACATATTCATATTTTCGAAGTCCATTCTTTTCAGCAAATTCATGACTGCGGGCTTTGGTATTGCCTAAAGATAAAAAAAAGCATTAAAATAATTAATATTAGTTGCAGAGAGGGAAGGGAAGAAGGCTTAAAGCTCCACTATGATGTAAAAGCAGGCAAAAGAGCAGCAGCGCACATTCTACAGATGAATAGCAGTTGTTTTCTGATGGAAGCAAAACTAAATGTGCTTTCAATTAGGCTCATAATACCAAAAGATAGGGAAAAAATGAGTTGCTAAAACAATTGTTAATTCTCTTACTGTATGAAATTATCTTTAAACATAACTAACAGGTCCTTCGCATTGATCAAATGCAAACTCAAAGCTCTCTTTTAAGAGAGATTATAGTAAAATTTACATTGTAATATACAAATTCTATTAGCATTAAAAACACTGCCACTAAAAGGGTACAATTTATAATAATGTTAACTTTTGATATGGATTGAATTAACTTAGTCAAAAGTGTTAACTTATGTTAAATTGTTACAAGAACCTTCTCTCCATCCAAAGAGAAAAATCTTATGCTTTTTAAAAATAGACAAGTAGGAACGAGTCAAATACGCTAAAACAATATTTTTGTCATCTCATATATTCACTTTGAACTTGATAGGCTTTATTTATTCATCTGTTCATTCATAAATTCAAGTTGCATGTCTATATGCTCATTAATTTTTCAACCTAATGCTCTCTACAGCAAGATGGGCTTGCCTCTGTATGTAAGCTCTGCACAAGCCATCTGAAAACAGTTTGGCTGAACATGTAGTGAAGTATGTATTTCAACGGTCTGGCAGAAAGAGTACTCTGATGAGGAAATGGCACAAGTCTTAAGAACGAATTACTAACACAGTAATGGCACAAGTCTTAAGAACTAATTACCAACACAGCCAATTCGGCAAACAACAAAAGAGACGCGCGCGCACACACACACTGAAGAGAAAGCCTCTGGAGATGAGTGGGCAGAAACCAATTTGTTTTACAGGTGGTGTAGAATTCTCTGAACTGTCAGTATTGAAGTTAATACATTCAGATGGCTTTGCCTACTACATTTGTGTCCCCGGATGTTGCTACAACTGCATCTTCCGGGGTAGTAGGCCTAAAGCGCACACAGGATCTTCCTGAGACAACCTGAGCAAAATGAATTTAATCAAGTCCATGTATTAAACATCACTACATGTTTTATAGTCCTTGCATTATT